TTCCAAGTTATTGGTAGTTTCTTTATGCAGTTAGACTTTTGTGATTGTTGTCTATTGCCATGAGTGGCTAAACTCTCATTTTGGTAGACCTTGGCTTAAAACCTCTGAGTTTGTGGTTTTTGAAGGATTTATGCCTATTTATCATTTATCTTATGTCTATGATTCTAGTTCATATTTCCTATGCTTGTTTAGTGCTTTGATCATGAGCTTGGTACTTTAATAAGCAATTGTTGGTTTATTTTGTTTGGTTTAGCATTGAATCATTGAATTTACTTAGAACAAGGGCTTTATGATGGTAGAAATCATCTCTAGCTTATGAATCATAACTCCTTTATGGATGTGTAAGCATTGACATCCTCTAGGAATTGGGAATTTCTTCATTTTAAAAGCTAATCAACTTCTTGGGTTCAATTGCTTCAATTGGATCTTTGATTTTGATTAAGAAGGTGTGTTGTGGGCTTCCCAAACCTCCATACTACCTATGAGAAATCTTGGCACATCATGCTTCATGATTGCTATTAGGGGTGTGCGCGGTGCGGTTTGGTGCGGTTTACAGTCAAAACCGCAAACTGCACCGCATATGCGGTTTGAACATTTTAGAAACCACAAACCACACCACAAATGTTCAAAACCGTGTTATGCGGTGCGGTTTGATGCGGGAGGTTTATGCGGTTTGGTTGCGGTTTGTGCGGTTTGATGAGTTGTTCAACATTAAATCTATCAAAAAACCAAAAAACTACCCGGTATAAAAAAATTGATTGCTTTTATTTTATAAAAACAAATACAATTTTCAAGTTAAATCGTTTTTAATAAATTGTGATTCATGCTACTATAGTTTTGTAGGTGTCACTGTTATTGCTTTATATTGCCGTTATAGTTGCTATATTCTTGTAAACTGTGGGATCTTAATCTAATAGTGATTTAATGTTACGTTATAGATATTTGATTATTGTAAGAAATATATTTAAATACATCGTTTCTAAATCGTGATTTGAAGTTATAAAAAAGTAAAGAAAAAAAAGTAATATATATATATATATATATATATATTATATATATAGATATATATATATATCTATATATATAACATGCGGTGGCGGTGCGGTTTTGAACAGCGATTTTTATAAATACAAACCGTAAACCACCACCGCATAGTGCGGTTTATAAAATGACGAACCGCACCGCACAACGAAATTCTAAACTAACCGCATTATGCGGTGCGGTTTGGTGCGGTGCGGGCGGTTTGTGCGGTTTTTTGCACACCCCTAATTGCTATAACCAATTTGGGATGAATGATAAGCTTCATGTTAAATCCTAATGATAAACACACAAATGTTCATTGTGTTGAATTGCCTTGGTTTACCAATTCTCTCTAATATTGAGCATCTCACTTTCTTGCGTATTGCAAGTTTTTAGTTATTCAAGTCTTTTAGTTTTCAAGCAATCATAACACCCCCCGTTTAGTTTAATTGTAGTTAGTTAGTTTATTTACATATTCTTTTAGATTGCATTGGTGATTGAATACAACCATTTCCCCGAGGATCGATACCCGTTTTTCCATTATATTACGTTTTATTTGCACAAAGGGTGTAATTTGCTTGGTGGACTTGACATCCCACCAAGTTTGGCGCCGTTGCCGGGAAAAATGGTTATTGTTATTTGATTGTTTATGCCTAGGTCTACAAGAACCGGTGAACTACTCTACAATCCGGAAATTGAAAAAGAAGCAAAAAGGTTGAAAAAGTTAGCCAAACAAGCAAAGCAACAACAACTCGTTCAAGCTTCTTCCTCTTCTCCACTAATCAACATAGAAGACCAAGTTCATACTTCAAGTGATACCGACACCGAGCCGAGTTCTCCAATTGTTGGTCATTCCTTGAAGACAGTCTGTTTGAAAACTACATAGCCATGAATCACACTCCACCTCACAATCCCAACCCAAACCCAAACAATCAATATGCCAATACCCCACCTCAACAACCAAGACAACAACAACCCGAAGAACCTCTCATTGATATGCCACCTTGGAATCAACCCCCTCATCAACCAAATCCACCCAATTATCAACAACCACAACCACAAAACCAAAACTTCCATCAAAACAACCAACCTCAAAACAATGCTTTTCAAGTTCAACAACCACAAGAACATCAACCAAATCAACCTCATTACCCACAACCTCTAATGTACCAACAACCAATGTACCCCAACAACACCTCCCTACAACCCAATACCCTAACTACCAACCTTATCCACCACAAATGTACAATCACCAATAATACCCATACCCACCTTACCAACAACCTCCCAATTATATGCAACAATATCACAATAACCCCAATCCACCCAATCCCCCTCAAGAGTTGACACTTCGACAAATGATGGAGACGGATGTTACTCACACACCCTTTGGTATTTTTTATCCCGCAAACTGTCGAGGAATTGAATTGAAGTCAAGTTTCATACATCAACTTACCAAGTTCCATGGTTTGGATAGAGAAGATCCTTAAAAGCATTTGAAGTCCTTTCATATGATATGTGTTAGCATGTTGCCCGAACATGTGACATTGGATGATTTCAAGTTAACCGCCTTCCCGCTCACCTTGGAAGATAAAGCTAGAGAGTGGTTATTTAACTTACCACCAGGATCTATTCACACATGGGAAGAATTACTCAAAGCCTTCAATAGAAAGTTTTATCCCACCTCCCGGATATCAAGTCAAAGAAGTGACATTTTGGGGATTCGTCAAGGGGAGAATGAAACCTTTCATGATTTTTGGGAGCGATTGAACAATTTGTGTACAAGTTGCCCTCCACACAATATACCCGAACAATTACTTCTTCAACAATTTTATGAGGGTATGAATGAAAAAGATCGAAGGATGATTGATGCTTCAAGTGGTGGTGACATCTTCAACAAGACACCTCAAGAGATAAGATCACTTTTTGGAACCATTTTTCAAAATCAAAGGAACTTTGGGACCCGAAATGAAATGAAGAGAAATTCTCCACAAGTGGTTGGTAAAGTTAGCAACACCCAACACTTGGAATCAAAGCTCTTGGATTTGACTAATGTGTTAAGTCAAATGGTGGTGGGAAGTGGTCGACAATTGATGGTGTGTGATATTTGTGGGTGTAATTTGATTACATCCTAACTACCAGGATGTAATCAATAAACATATCATGCCATAACCGAATACAATCCATAAAGGGTCGGCATTGGTGCCTTAGACCCTATTAATATAGTGAGGATAACTCACCTCGCAAGTAGTGCTGAAGTACTGCAAATCTCTGACTGTTGTATCCCCGGAAATCCCACACTATCACACCATAAATAATAAGTTAATTCCCATCATGACCTTCTTCAATAAATGTCCCTAACATGCTCATATTTTCCCAAAATAGCCCAGAAGTCCAATAGTCAACCCTTGGTCAAAGTCAACGTCAACTATCAAGGTCAACAGTCCATGTTGACCTCAACTCGTCGAGTACCCTCAGTTACTCGCCGAGTTCCTGGCATAACTCGCCAACTCGCCGAGTCACTTAAGTGACTCGTCGAGTTCCTAGTGTCAGTGGCTGTAACTCCCTGGCCAACTCGCCGAGTTTTCCCCTTTACAACTTGCCGCGTTCATACGTGTCCAAAGGTTGGGAAAACCCTAGCCGACCTGCCGACTCACTCATCTGACTCGCCGAGCCCACGACCATCTTCATCGGACTCGACGAGTCGTCCGTGCGACTCGCCGAGCCCACGACCATCTTCATCGGACTCCCCGAGTTGTCCGTGCGACTCGCCGATTCCCTTCAGTCCTTCATCCATACAGAGGCTTTTTAAGCCATGTTGAGGCTCCAAATTGTAGATCCAACTTCCCAAGGCATGTTTATCACGTAAAGTTGCAAACTTTACGTGCATGCAAAGCTCTAAAGTCTTAAAATGACAACACCAAGCTTGTAAAGAAGTCTCACACTTGAGGGAAGGCTCATACTTGTCAAAGCTGATAACTCTATGGATCTAGAGGCCAAAGGGAGTCCAGATCTGAAGTTACAACTTCAGATCTTGGCTCAAACACAAGAAACCTTTCCTAAAACCCACCCAAAAGAGATTAAAGATGAAATGAGCCAAGGAAACAACCTAATACCTTCAATAGAGTGTTAACTGAAGTAGACCTTTGCTTCCCCACGAGTTCCTTGCTTCAATTTACTTGTTTTCCCAAGAGTTTCCTCACCAAGATCCCTCTTCCAAGCTTTAACACACCAAAGAAACACACAAACACACGATTTAGGGTTTAAGGGTATCAAGAAGCTGTAAAAGGGGAGGTTGGGGGAGGCCAATGATCCTTTAAATAGGTTGCAAAACCCCGAAATTTAGGGTTTCATCTGCCAGCTCCTACTCGTCGAGTCCCTTCTTGGACTCGGCGAGTAGGTCACTAAAACACGTGGACCAACCCGCTGCTACTCGACGAGTAGGGCAACCAACTCGTCGAGTAGACCTTGAAATCAAGAAAATCTTATAAAAATCAATACCTGAGAATCGGGGCGTTACAATTTGTCTTTGTTGATTTTATGATTTAATTGATAGATTTGATGATTTATATGGAAAGTGACATCCTGATAAATGTAATAGAATTTTTAGAATATTTGCAAATTTATATAATCTTTGTTTTTACAAATTATTTGCAGTGTATATTAGTCAGTGGCCAGTGGGTCCTACATAGATGGACCAATACTGGCCTAGCTTAAAACATGGGCCTTAGTTTAACTGTCAAACATACAGATCCCAAAAGTAACCCCATTCTCCCTAACGGTAATCTCGATTTTTGGAAGTGTATCCTCTGCCGCCCCTCAGGTTAATCTGTAAAGTGTAAATTGCATACCACATTTTTATTGGATTTTGTAAATTAGGTAAAACCCAAAGAACGACAGAACTCTGACGTGCCCGCGAAGACCAACGGCAAACCGGTCTTCATATTCATCAACGACTTATCCTTCACCTGAATGCACTGTCATCGATATGCCTCCTCCTCCTCCTCCAACCTTCGTTTCAATGCCTCCACCGCAATCTGGTGCTCCGCAATCACCTCTATTTCATCCACCACATATGTCGGAGTTCTCTTCGCGATCTGTTTATCGCACCATTCCTCAAACTTTCATGATTTCATGGTTATCTCCCTTCGAGTTTCCTCACACCTTTCTTCATCTGCATCTCGTCTGATTGATAGTGAATTATGGTATGAATTGCAACCGCGAAAGTGTTGATGGCGTTTTTTGCACCTTCTTCTGGAAGCTTCTCGAGTTGATCTTGCCAGGTACGTAACAATGACTGAATCTTAGGGTTTTGAGGATTTTGCTGAGAGGAAGCTTTGTCTATAAAGTTGTTATCGATACACATGAGGTTTAATTCTAGCTAATTGCTGAGAGATTTAACATACTCCTTCTGGTGTAGAATGAGTTTTTGAAATCCAGAACACCACATCTTGACATGAACATGGAGTTGCTTTGTGTTGCTATGATTGTCCTTGCTTGTTTCATTCCACGATTGAGAGATTTTGATCGCTCTTAACTCCTGCTCCATCTTCCATTGGTTTTCATATTGCTTTCCCATTCTCTCCCACATTGCGTCCATTTTGCAAACAAGTTTTGGAACATTTTTTCTCATACTTTTTCTCTGAGTAGTCTTTAATCTTTTTTGCATCTAAACTTACTTTTTAACAAGCTGAAATAGTTTTGGGTACAATTACTCATCACGAAGGCGATTGATTTCTGAAACGGTTGAATCAGTGGAGTGCATTTGCACAATGCATCTTGTGTGTAGATGACTTACCATCCGCATCAATGAGTCGCTACTTGTTCCTCGCTTTGTAAGTTTGTTTAGTGAAGCACTCTTTTTCTTGTACACATATTTCATCTCTTCACCTGCCTGTTGACTGTTGAGTATGAGATCAAATCATTTAAATAACATTTTATGTTACAGAAACAAAAAGTTGGACATATACCTTGACTTTATCGTATAGCTTCTTCTCCCATGCTAGTATATTGTCTAGTATCATGTAATGAGATTGTTTCTCTTTGGGAGCATAATTGTCTTCATCATGATTAGAAATTTGGTATCCTTTAAACAAATGTTTCCATGTAGTGACTCTTGTAGAATGATCGGTATGGCCTAAATCCAAGCATTTCAAAGGAAAGATGATATGCGAAATGTACGAAAGATAAAGTGATTAGGGAACCATATGATATATATACCAGGATTATCTGCAGAATTAGAGTCGTGTTGCAACATATTGGCCTCAATAATCTTTGAAACCTCATGAGCACTCTCTGAAGCTTTTACAAAACCATCATCGATCTCTGTAATTATCTATAACAAGTCCATACTCTCCACATCTTCTTTCATGGATGACAGTGGTGGTTCTTTCTCACTCTCCACCACTGCACGATGACAGAAACCACCACCACCGACATGTCTCCTCTTATCATCCTCCATCGTCCTCTGAATCTCAGGTTTCCCGATTCTGCTACCCTTGCCATCAACTTCGGTCAATTCAGACCCAATGACGTCCTCCATTGACGTAAAAAAAAGAAATCCCATGGCACGATTCCATCGTTTCCCGATGAAGGAGGTACATTCTTGTTTCCCGTCTCCCGTTTTGATGTACGGAATCTGCTACCACCATCGGGTTGTGGTGGAGGACGACGGGAATCATAACGGGGATGTGGCGGCGTCGGGTGAAGATGATCGGGAAATTGGAGCTCCCCTAGGGCGTAATCAGTGAAGGCGGCACCGATATTTTTTAGGGCAGCAATGTAAGCGAAGTGGGAGGGTGCAAAGGCGTAGTGAGCGGAGATTGATTGTTTCATGAACGCTTTTCTTTCCTTGCATTGGTTAACAACTTCTTTGTTCTCCATCCTAATCGTTGATTGCGAACATCCCATATTTCTTCTTCGTCTATCTGATGAATGTTCCGAACCTGAGAATTTTGGTCTCATTTTTTATGCATTTTGTTATGTATGTAAGTTGAAAGAAAGTAGCAACGATGTTGTCCTATCGAAGTTGATAATAATACGAATAGTCAACGGGTCACAACAGAGATCAAACTTACAAGTTTAAAAATAAATGAGTTAAATATGTTAGCTAATTAATTAATAAGTTATGATGATTATAAAATAATAATATTATCATAATAATCTAATTTTTAAAGAGAATCGTCTAAAAAATTGTATGTATTAAAAAAATCTTTTAACAAGTTGTATTTGTTTTTTGTATTTTGGCTATTTTTTTATGTTACATAAACAAAATTATCACAAACCTTACCTAGAATGTCGGTAGTAATAAATCCAAAACTTTCAAAATCTTGTCTACATAAAATGCCAACCTTTCGCATTGCATCCTAAGTGTTGTCGAGTTGTTGACGGAGGTTAGAAAATAAACTTAGGCCCCGTTTGATATGCGTCTGACCGAGTCGGGTCAGACGTTTTTGACAAAAATAGAAATTAAGATGTAGATGATATTTGTTGTGCATTTGTGTATTTGGAGTAGTTTTAAATCAATGTGAATCCTATACATCTTAGTTTAACAAAAACAGAAATTAAAATTACCATTGAGCTTGTTTTTGGGTGGTCTGAGATGTTTAAAGAGAGTATGATTCACTTAATGGGATTCAAGATTTTTGACCATGGTATGATATAAACTGCCACATCATATGAACTTTGAAATGACCAATTTTCATAAACTTTGATTGATTCCCCTCTTGTAATCATGATTACACAGGTAGTGGAATTAGCTAGATCCATGTTTAAACACTGTAAAAGGTAGAAGGGGTATTTTGGGTATAAAAATATTATATGTATGTTTTGTTCTAAATGTTGAATCAAAATTGTGCTTAAAAATATATGTTTTTATAACTCTTCAGCAACTTCTTCCATCACTGTGTAGAGTAGTAGGGTAAAATGGTCATTTTTCATCAATCAGCACATTTAGTCAGATGTACAATCAAACAATAAAGGAATTCAAATGTTATTTGAATGCATATCTCTATCTTTAGTTATCTTTATCTTTATTTTCTGTTGCTAAGATTCTTATCTTTACGTTTTATTAGCTTCACCAAACATTGTATTTATTTAAAGGCTTTTGATAAGTCAATACAAGTAATTGTTTTTCAATCAATTTCTATATGGTATCAGAGACGATCGATCCAGCCTAAACGAAAAACCCTACCATGGGTACCGGTGGTGCAGAAAGCTCCGGCAAGAAAGACAATGAATCCACAAATATCGACTCCAATTCACCCTATTACCTGCATGCGTCTGATTATCCCAGACAAATGCAAGTGAATGACATACTGACCGATAGCAATTATAGCGATTGGTCACAGGAGATGACAAATTTCTTATATGCGAAGAACAAGATGGGATTTGTGAATCAAACCATCGAAAAACCGGAAGAAAACGTAGCTGAATACTTGATATGGATGAGGTGTGATGCCATGATCAAAGGATGGCTCACCACAGCAATGGAGAAAGGCATCAGATCCAGCGTGAAGTACGCTTCCACATCAGCAGAAATATGGGCAGATCTCAAGGAACGTTTTGGAAAGGAGAGTGCCCCACGTGCTTATGAACTGAAAAGAACACTTACCATCACACACCAAGATGGAGCTTCCGTTTCTGCCTACTACACTAAGATGAGAAGTGTATGGGACGAGATTCAATCAGTGTGCCCTCTGCCCTCGTGCACATGTGGAAAATGCACCTGTAATATTGGAAAGAAATTGACTGAATCTAAAGAAAAAGAAAGATTATATGAATTTCTTTTGGGACTGGATGATGTTTTTTCGACTGTCAGGTCTCAAATCCTCACATCGAAGCCTACACCAACACTTGGAGAAGCTTACCATCTCGTTGCTGAAGATGAACAACAACGTGCCATCTCATCCACGAGAAGGATACCTCATGATGCGGCGGCATTTCAAACCTTCAGTACAAGAAAACGAGATGCATCAGCTGAGGTTGCAGATTCAAGACACAGGGGCATACCCAAGGAAGCCAAACGCACAAACCAAGAGGGTGAACACTGCACGGTATGTGGAAAAAATGGGCACAATAAAACTGGATGTTTCAAGGTGATTGGATATCCAGAGTGGTGGCAGGGAAAAGGGAAGAAAGAAAAGGAAAGTCCAAAAGCCTCTTGGGCCAGTGCTAATTCGAGTCCTGTTGCTGGACTCACGAATGAACAATACCAAACACTGATTAAGCATCTCTCCATTGACAAGAAGGTAGAAAGCAGTGATGAAGCAAGTGCAAGCGCAAATTTGGCTGGTAAGACAATAGAAAGTGAATATTGGATTGTTGATACAGGTGCAACAGAACATATGACTGGTGATCAAAATTTACTTGAAAGCGAAGGTAAACTTTAGTTATGAAGCACCAGTTGCCATTCCTAATGGTGCCTTGATTCCAGTTGAAGGAAAAGGAAATAGTAGGCTACCAAATGGCATGAAGCTTGGGAATGTGCTATATATTCCCTCATTCAATTGCAACATGTTATCAGTAGGACGACTAACAGATGATTTGAACTGTGTTGTGACTTTTTTTCGTGGTTTTTGTGTTGCACAGGACTTAGCCACGAAAAATTTGATTGGTGTGGGTAAGCGTGAAGGTGGGCTCTATCGGATGGATTCTAAAGAAAATATGACAAGAGCTATGGCAAGTAGTCAGAATGTTGAAATTTGGCATAGAAGACTTGGGCACGCATCAGAATCTAAGCTGCATTGAGTTGATTTTTTAAAGAATTCTAGTTTTAGTTTGAAAAATAAGAACTGTGATTCATGTGTAAAGGCAAAACTCACACGTTTGCCATTTCCCATTTCATCTAGTAAAACCACTGATTGTTTTGAATTAGTGCACTGTGACATTTGGGGTAGCTATCGGACACCTTCTTTTACTGGGGCTCGCTATTTTTTAACTATAGTTGATGACCACAGTAGAGCTGTTTGGGTCTTTCTCCTCAAACACAAGCATGAAGCAAGAAAATGTTTAATTGAGTTTTCTAACATAGTCAAAACACAGTTCGAAAAGATAAAAAGAATAAGAAGCGATAATGGTGGAGAGTTTGTATCACATGTTATGAGTGACTTCTATGCATCAGAAGGGATTATGCTTGAGACATATTGCGTTAAAACCCCCCAACAAAATGGAATAGTGGAAAGAAAACACAGGCATCTGCTTGAAATTGCTAGATGTTTGAAGTTTGAAGCTAACTTACCCACCAAATTCTGGGGGGAATGTGTTTTGACAGCAGCCTACATCATCAATAGGTTGCCATCCAAAGTAATTGATCACAAAACACCTTTTGAAATTTTATTTGGCAGAAAACCCTATTACACCCACATGAAATTTTTTGGTTGTTTGGTGTATACTAGGAATACAGAGACGCGAGGAGATAAGTTTGAAGTCAAGGGGAGGCCTGGGGTTTTCGTGGGATATCCTCAAGGTCAAAAGGGATATTGTGTTTATGACTTGGAGACCAAGAAAATTATTGTCTCAAGAGATATCAAGTTTTTTGAAGAAAATTGCCCTTATGCCAACGTAAAGCACGAGTCTGATACAACCAATGATCAAGATCTTTTTGAACTCGATGCCACCACATACGATGACCCACAGATGAATATTACACCTCAGCGACATCATGCGATTGATGTTCCTATTACTGTTGCAACCGAACATCAAGAAGCTGATCAAGCACCTACATCGGCAAGCATGGATAACCACGACACTGCTGACAATCACCATGATAATGATGAACAACAACATACATTCCTTCAGCGAGTAACCAGACCAAAGACTCTACCAAAAAGATACGAGGGATTTCAAGTCGATCTACCTCCTTCGATCAACATATGCTTCCTACATCTGATCAAGCCTCACCAACGGAACATTCATTAGCTAACTATGTTTCTTATGACAGGTTTTCTGACAGCCACAAAGCATTCCTGTCTTCCATTAGCTCTCACTTCGAACCACGATGCTTCAAACAAGCAGCAAAAGATGTCAAATGGAGAGAAGCAATGAAGAAAGAGATCGAAGCTTTAGAAACTAATAGTACTTGGACTCTTGAACAACTACCTCCTGGTAAGAAAGCTGTTGGATCTAAATGGGTATACAAGGTTAAATATAAACCAAACGGTGAAGTGGAACGCTACAAAGCCAGATTAGTGGCTAAAGGGTATACTCAAACAGAGGGAATTGATTTTCATGACACTTTTGCCCCTGTTGCCAAGCTCGTTACCGTCAGAACATTACTAGCCATAGCAACCAAGAAAGATTGGATTGTCAACCAACTAGATGTGAACAATGCTTTCTTGCATGGCGACTTGCAAGAAGAAGTTTACATGAAGGTCCCTGAGGGTTTTGCAAAGGAAGGTGATAATAGGGTATGCAGGTTACGAAAGTCCCTATATGGACTTCGCCAAGCATCACGTAACTGGTACCAAAAATTCACCTTGGCCTTAACTCAAATGCACTTTAAACAGTCTTATGTCGATGCCTCACTTTTTACCTATAAGAAGGATGATGTCTTTGTTGCAGTCTTAATCTATGTCGATGACGTCATCATAGCCGGTAACAGTTGCGCCAAAATACAAACCACAAAATCTGAACTTCATCGACGTTTCAGTATAAAAGATCTGGGTCCTCTCAAATATTTTTTGGGTATTGAGGTAGCCAAAACAGCCAAAGGTCTTGTGCTCAGTCAACGAAAGTATACCATGGACATCCTAAAGGATTGTGGGATGGAAGGCTGTAGACCCAGTTCTTTTCCCATGGAGCAAAACCTCCAACTTGATCAAAGTACAGAAAGTCCACAAGTAGAAGCAGCTCAATATCGTCAATTGATTGGGCGCCTCCTCTATCTTCAAGCAACTCGCCCTGACATCGCA